TTTTTTTTTTCAAGAAAAGAAAAAGTTACATAGGTGCAAGGGGCCAGCTAATTCTACTGCATTATTAGCGCTAAGGGTTTGTTTTATCTCTGTTTATTATGATCCAGGGAAGCAGCCTGGAAAGGAATATGCTTTTGCCTCATGTATCTCCTACAACACCCACTCTTCAGGCTGGTGTGAATGCTCCTGCGGCACAGCTTGAGCTGAGAAAGAAGGCAGGAGAAGAGGATGATTTCAGCGTACCTGTATTTAACACAGAGATGGGTCAACGTTATAGTAAAATTCAGACCTGCATTGAGGGGGAGAAACTTGCTCCCGCGACTTACACTGGCCGTTCAGTAAAACTCCAAAATGTTACTGGTAAGGATCCAAATCGAAGTAGCTCTTCAGTCGTCAATTTAAGAAAAGAGGCCGGAGAGCATGCTGAAGAAAGGCCAAAAGTATGCTTGAGTAGGGAGCATGAAATAAAGACTGCATCAAATTCATCTACAAGACAAAAAATTGATGGACCCGTGAAGGAGTCCAAGGCATCTCCCTCACCAGATTGTTCTAGAGCTGGTTTACAAACAAAAAATAATGGATTTCTTGATCGTGTTGAGTCTGTAAGAGATATTGACAACGGAGTCCTTCCCCTACCAAGAAGGGAGTCTTGTACAGTGGAGGACCGTAGCAGCCCAGATGAACCTAATAATGAAAGTGAATGTCCTGGAGTCGAGATATGTGGTTCACTACACTTGGTTAATGGGGATGATGATGCCTCTGAGACATCCATGGTGGATTCTATTTCAGGTGTGGATATCTCCCCTGATGATGTGGTTGGAATAATAGGTCAGAAACATTTTTGGAAAGCAAGAAGATTAATTGCCAAGTAAGTTCTTATGCAAATTGTTGACTTTTCAAATATCTTTCCTTCTAATGCTTTCAACCTTAGAATTTCATGGAAAAGGTTTCTGATAATGTATGGATCAACTGGTATAAGCAACAGAAAATTTGGTTCTTTTTTAAATGGAGAAAATCAATATACTCTCTTCTTTGAAGAGTATTTCTTGGTTTTTTAGGAGGGGTGGAAGAAGAAATGTAAGTGAAATATGTAGAAATATGTGATGTTCTGGGAGTCATTCTCTTTGTGGAATGGTAATGGTCTTATGTTCGGGTGCAATGGTTCGGATTCAAGGTTGGTTGGTAGTCATTTAATGTAGACGTTCTAAAATTAGTAGCCGCAGACCTTTTAACTGGACTAACTTTTGGTGGATTGATATATCCATGTAAAAGAAAAAGTAAATTCCTCCCATACTAAATAAAACCATCAAAACATGTGCAATGAATTTCTTCTTTGTTATTAACTTCAATGTTATCATTTTAATGTAGCCTTGTTTCTTTAATGAGCTCTTTTAGCTTTCATTCTCATTCATTTCATCTAAGCTATGGCAATAGAGATGGAGGTAAGAAATGGTAAGAAATATTAATAAATTTTCTTAAAATTATAGTTACATTAGATTGTTAATATTCACTATGGATTAGTAATAAGAGTGTTGAATGGATCCTATTTTGTGGAGAGCTGTAAATATGGCTTTGATGGAGGTGAGAATATATAGTATGGACTCTCGGGATTCTTCCTCAAGTGGCAATTTTTTTGTTCAGAGCCCTCGATAACATATTAACATGGATGCAGGGAGAGGACTATCCTAATTTGTGGAAGGTAACCCCTGAGACAGCGGATCATCTTGATATTCATTTTCGGCTCATCTGCTTTTCGGGTATATTCCTGTCTCAGTTTGGTACTGCTTATCCCTGTGATCCAAGAAGTTTCCTTTCATGGCACTCGAGGGCTTGGGGCAGGAGAACAAGCAGTGGAGGATTATCCCTAGAGCTAATGTTGGGTGGATCTTGTAGGAGAGACTGGGGAATGTTTGACATTTTGATTGTTGGTGAACATGGTGGCAAAAGGATTGTCTTATGTAGTATGTTCTTGGAGTTCTGCATTAGAGGACTTCAATGGGTTGGGGTACATAATCTGGATATCTTAGTTTAGTTTTTTTACACCTATGGGCAGCCGTTATTTGTTGTACATTGGTATAGGTTTTTTAAACTTTATTTATGCATTCTACATACAAGAAAGCAAGGATGTGCATTTTAAATTACAATACTCTGTTTGCCTATGTTATCTGTTCAGTTATTTTGTACTAAAGATATTTTGTTGCATTGGATGCTGGTTAGTACTGTAAAGAATTTTATGCTTTACATATATTAACTAACTTTTATTGCAGAAGCTGCTGCTTGTGTTTAGTGTTGCATGTGATGTAACGCTATGAGAATAGAATTTCAAAGTTTCTGAAAATATGGTTATTATTTTTGTCCCTGATATATACTTTATGTATTTTGTGCCGTATGCTATTGCTTTCTTGTGTTCATTATTACTGTGGAGCATAAGGGATGTGTTGTGGAGGGAAAGAGCATTTCAGTCTAAAGTGAGCTTTTTAGGCCTCTGTGGCAGAGGAGATATTTAATGTGAAAGGGTAAGACTCCACCCCTCCTTGAAGAAGAAAAAACAGAGTAGAACTAGTCAGGGGAAACTATAGACATTAACATAACAATTTAACTAGTTTCAAGTCTTGATGCATCTCATTTGGATAATTCTTTTCTGCCATCTCATTCTTGATTGCAATTGCCTCCAGATGGTTTCTGGTTGCACTCACAGTATTCTTTGTTTGTTAAAGCTAGAATATTGCAAATTCTTTACATTTATTTTTCTTGATCCAACTCCTGTTGCTCTCCACAGTCAACAAAGAATGTTTGCAATTCAAGTTTTCGAGTTGCATAGACTGATTAAGGTATGGCAATGCTTTCTTGTTTAGTAGCTTCCACTGGTCCCTATAGGGAATGTGGATTACCTTTTCCATTTATTCGGTGTCATTTATGTGTGGAAAAATGGCTTATTGTTCTGAGTTTGTAACAGGTCCAACAGCTGATTGCTGGATCACCACATCTCTTGCTTGAGGAGAGTGCATATCTGGGCAAACCTTCTTTCAAGGGCTCTGCCACAAAGAAACTCACTTCAGAATATGCTGTAAAACCAGTGCTGCAAATTACGTGCAAAGATGATTCTGAGAAGCCAACCCATAAACTTGAATGTTCAGCAGAAAACGCAGTTTGTAGGACATCTCTCTCTTCAGTGAAAAATGGCAGCCAGCCTTCAAGTTATGGGCCATACCATGGAAACCCACCCCCAGCTCCCATTCCCACTGATAACAAAACAAATCCTCGGTGTTTCCATTCATTGCCTGGGCATCAGTGGTTGATCCCTGTCATGTCCCCTTCTGAAGGACTTGTATACAAACCCTATCTTGGACCTGGTTTCACAGGAGCAGTTTGTGGAGGATGTGGACCTTTTGGGCCATCTCCCACGACAGGCAACTTTATGACTCCAGCCTATGGAGTTTCAGCCCCTCCTTATCATCAAGGAATGGGATTTCTGCATGGTGCTCCTCCTGTTGGTCAAGTTTACTTCCCTCCTTATGGAATGCCAGCAATGCACCCAATGTCAGGTTTAGCTGTGGAGCAGATGAATCAATTTGCTCAACCTGGTTCACATGGTCATGCTGATCAGTTATCTGGAGGGGAAGCTAATTTCAACATACAACAGCAGAGCTCATGTAACTTGCCTGCTCAGAAGAATGGTGGTATTTCACATGCTGTAAAGTCAAAGGACACTGAACTACAGGGAAGCACAGCCAGTAGTCCCGGTGAGAAAGTACAACAGGATTGTGGAATCACTGACACTACTGAAGGAAGGAATGGACTTTCCCTCTTCCCTATGGTCTCAGCTGCACCAGAGGGAACCTCTCTGCTTCATGATACTCAGCAGCCAACAAGAGTGATCAGAGTTGTACCACACAATCCTAGATCTGCTACTGAATCAGCAGCTCGAATTTTCCAATCTATACAAGAAGAGAGAAAACAGCATGACTCAGATTAGCTTAATACAAACTTCATCTAGGTAAACTATCTAAGAATCATCTAGCTAGATGCATTTCTTAGTCATCTCCTCTGTACCTTTTTGGTGATGTCATGTAACATTTTCTTATAATTTTCTGGTTTACCAGTCTATTTGTATGTAGATATATCTCTGAGAGATCATAAGTCAATGTAACATGAAATGTTGTCCTCTACAACACTTTCACAACGGATATTTTAGGCCATAAAGTCTTTTCCTGGAAGAGAAGTTGATGACTACAAGTTTCTACCTAACTAGATCAATCCGGACACAAGTGTCTACCTTTGATGACTACAAGCATTGTCTTATGAATTCTTTTACTCATGTAAATGAGCAAAATCCAGAAAAGGAGATTTATGGTGCTTTAGAAAGATCAGAGGATACGCAGGAACTTGTTCCGAATACTAAGAATCTGTATGATTCACCATGCTAATCATCCATTTATCTTTCGTGTCTTAAATTTTAAGAGTTGGAACATGCGAAGAAGGGCAAAATGAAAATTACTGGACACGACCCAAATAATATTTAAGTTTTGATAATTTCTTTGAGTGACATGTAGCGCGCTTTCATTACTCAAATTATTCTTTAATTATTATTTTTTTAATTCAAGGACAATATCTTATATTCTAAACATAATTAAGAAAGAAATAACTTATAACACTCCTTCATGTAACTCAAGTGATCACGTTTTTTCGTATAAGAAGCAAGATGGAGCGCAGCACATAATCATCAGGTTGACTCTTCAACCGGTACTCAAACAGATATTAATGTACTAATCATGTTTCCTATAATTAAAAAAGAAGAAGAAGAAAGAAATAACTTATAATATTGTATTGAATGCTTGAATTAACATGCATATACTCATTTAATGTTTTGTGAATATCATGAAATTTATTTATTTGTTTGGAAATGTCATGACATTATGTAGTTTATAATGAAAATATTTTATATCAAAAATAAAAACTGTAGGTAGTCAAAAAATAAAATTATACGCACTGTATATGATATGATAAATTTAATATAATAAGTTGATGATTAAAGTGACTTAAAATAAGAAAATATTATTTTTCATTGTATAATTAATTTTTTTTTAAAAAGAAAAACTTCAATGTAGCAAAGAGATAGTAGTTTTTTTTTGCTAAGAAAGAATTAGACAATTACTAAGAACAAGTGGTTGCCCTTACGTGATTGCTGGAAGATCCTAGTATACCAGTATATGGATACAAAATCAATAATAATAAAAAAATAAAAAGAAAAGGACTAAAATGTATAAAAATATGTTTATCAGGATTGTATTGGAATTTTCTAACTTGGGATCGATCCCAACATATTTTCTGTTTTCCACATGTCATAATTGTATTGGTAACGCTGGCCACGCTGGACGAAATCGTTCTCGAATTGACCAAAATGAAACCCAAATCCTCCGAGAAAGCTTAGCTTTGACGTTTTTTCTTCCGGAAATGGTGAAGTTCTTCCTCATGATCGCTGCCGACTTCGAGAACATTGCCAGACTCCAGCTTCAGAACGGCATCGACGATCCCTCCTTCTCCTACCTCTTCAAGGTCTCTCGCTATTCTCATCTTCTTCTTGCGTTCTTCGTGCTTACATTTTGCTTTCGCTTGCTTCAGCTTACTCTGCTTCTTCCATTTGCATTTCTGTTGTTCAATCTCCATAGATTATTGCTTCTAAGTTGTTTGGTTACTACATGTTCTCAGTTTGTTTTCCTTTTCCTTTCAAAATGCGGCATTATCAGTTAATCTCTTCCTTCGATCCGACTCTCCAGTGTTCCGTTTATCCATATTTCTTGAGTTGTATTTTTCTGTTTTGCAGTTAGAGTTCGATGCCTGTTGTTCATAATCTTCATTTTTAAATTAATTTTCGCTGTATAATCTAATTGATTTTTCAGGTGAATCTATAGTGGTCTTTATTGTTATCCTGTTATCTAAAATGTAGATTTCAAAGCACTAAGCATTTTGCTTCCATTGCTTATTTGAATCTCCGAGTTCGTTTCTCTTAATTTGCTCTTATAGTTTCTATATTTAGGTTTTCCGCTTATGTTCAGTTATATTTTTACGTCAATTGTTTATGATTTTGCTTTTAATGTTTCATTTTTGTCGATTAGTTTTGCAGTTTTGATATGTTTTCGTCCTCCATAAGTATCCAGATCTGATGTTTCAACTTGCCAAATATGTACATAATGAATGATTGTGATTATGTCTGTCTCGTTCATCTTTTGCTTGTAAACATTTATGATCTGATCTCATTCTCGCGTTGCATCTTTGAATCTCTATTCCTTCTGTGTAGGTTGAATTCGCTGCTCTAGGTTGTAACTTATGAATGTCATGGATAATATATTTGGATGTTTATCTCTTTGGATTTGCTGCTGAGATGTGGGAGTTGTGGTGAGCTGACTAAGAACTAAGAAGGAAATATGTGTTTTCGTGGGTGAAATGGTTCCTCTTCCAATGGGCAAAGGAACCGCTAGTCTCATTCAGTAGGTAATCCCATAATGGTTTTAGATGCCTATTTTGTGTTTCAGTACTTTGTTTTGCGGGAAAATGAATGTTTTTGAAGGGAAAGTTAATTGGAATCTTGATATTTATATTCTGTTTTGCTGCCGGAATGGCAGAGGGAAAGAGAAAGATTCTAGGTCTTAAAAGTAAAATTCTTTGTTCAACTTGGATGTATACTTGGCTCGCTCATTCAAGTTGAAATCTAACAATTTTCATGGAGCCTGCATTATGATAGACATACTTATGACCATTGTCTTAATTTTTCATCTCCCATCACTTTGCAGCTACAAGCTACTTAGTTGCCTTGCATTCATTTGAATTATTAATTTGGTTTTGTGAAGTTGGATGTGATGAAATCAGTTTTTCCTGAACTTGAAAAGAAAATCTAGTGTATTAGATTAACTTAAAACGGCTTATTAGATGTTGCGAACCAAGGTTTATGTTGTTCCTGTCTTTGTCTCAAGATGAACAAACATTGTTAGTTTCATCTGTGCATAAATTTGGAAAAAGAATGTCATCATTAAATAGTCTAATTATATATATACATATATGGATATATATATATATATACATATATGGATATATATATATATATATATAGTTGTCTGCTTGTGGTTTGCAAGTATGGTGTTAAGTTGGAGGTCTGATTGATGCAGTTTCTAGTTTGCTTGGACTCAAATGGTCCTGGCACCCTGCTTTGTCCTTACAACTTTATCTTCTGGTTTAGCCTTTGCATTCATGTCTTCAAGTTGTAAAAAAATAAATTATATGTTCAAATTGTGTACTCGACAACTTTGGCTTATATGACTTGTTAGTCGTTGCTTCTTTTCTATGACTCCAGAGTCTCCAATACATTTGTAGCTGTGTTTCTTCCACTTTGTATTTCTAGCAACTGTCTTTCACTTGTGGTTGTGGGTAATATTTTGGTGCTTTTTCTTTTATGCCACAGTGCAAGTTCTGTGGAAGTAAAGGAACTGTGACAGTGATCCCAGGGTGAGGTAGACCACTGAACCTATCTTAACTCAAGGAGGGTGGCCTTGCCCCTTGATGCTATTTGATTGCAGTGGTTATGAGCCTGTGGATTTTGTTCTTGGCGGTGGCTGGAAAGCTGAATCTGTAAGCCTCTGTTCTTCACTCTTTACCGGTTGGATATGAAGCATTCTAAAATTCCATGGTTTAATTGTCTTACTTCCTGACTTACTAGCACAAGTTGAAGGCCTTGTGTTCTTCTCTGCTAATTACACCGTGTCCTCAAATAAATCTGATTATGCTGTTGTCGTTACGGTTGCTTGAGTTTTTTCCCAACAAAATGTAGGCACTTATCTTAGTGCTTCCTATTCACCCTCAGCTGTCCACTTTGATACAAATTCAGGAATCTGAATAAAGTTTTTGGCCTATATCTACATGAAAGTTTGCTTAAGTTTTATTCATTTCTTCATGCTGGATATGTTTTCATGGCAACTTATAATAGTTCGTATCTGTAGCTGGCAGGAAAAATATTTGAAGACATCGACTTGTCAGGAGGTGAGTTTGCTGAATATGATGAGAAAGCACAGTGCCCAGTTATGATCTCCAATGTTCGTGCCTCTTTTAAGGTGGCGTAAGTGAAACCCTCCTCTTTCCAATTCTCCTTAAATAAAACCAACTCTTTGTGAAATGAGGTAGAAACTAGAAACCTATGACTGCGTTGTATATGGTACTAGATGTTCTTTATCATGACAAGTCCATATAAATACTCACTACAGCATTCAACAGAGTAATGAATCCTATTACATGTTCCTCGTTTTAATGATGATGTTTAAAAACTAGGCTGGAAATTACCTCTTAATAGGGATGAAGAATGAGACATGCTTCATAAATGATTAAGAATGGTCTTTGTACATGTTATTTGTGCTCTGGCATGGTCTAGGATGAATCTTGGTGGAATGGAATGATGCAGCCACCTAGCTTACCTAATTGGTTGGGAATCTTGAATATTGTTGATGGTAGGTCCTAAGCTGAACTCTCTACAGGCCTCACCTAAACAGGCTCTTTCATGTCATACATACCACACAAGTTGTTGGATCCACGTTTCACATATAAATCAAAATGAGCAAGTGTCTGTCATTATATAACCGAAGCTAGGATTGCCAAATGCTCAGATATCTTAAAATTCTAACTTAGGACATGTTGGGGCAAGTTGGTGGAAGTTTTGACTTTTTGTTTTAATTATTCATGAGTGATAAATTTAAATTTTTATTAAAAAAAAAATAAAAAAAACACTTAAAAAAAAAAAAAAGTGAGTAAAAAAAAAATTTATGAAAAGTTGAAATTTTTGATTTTTTACTATTTAAGGTTTTTTTAAGGTTAAAAAAATTAAAAAATATAAATTTTTTTAAAAAAATTTAAATTTATAAAATAAAAATAATATAAAAAAAAATTAAAACACTTGAAAAGCTCAACCTAAAGCACTCTTAATCTTTTTCACTTTTTAAGCGAGTCTAAAAAAGCAGCATATATAAAATCAGTAAACCACTTTCTCTGTATGATTGCTAACAAAACTTTAAAATTTTTTTTTCCTTGATTGAAGAAAAAACATTATGATCATGAAGGGATTCCAAAACAGCCAATGACGTTTTGTC